TCGTGCTAACCCTTTGCTCCGGATGGCTGGGCTGGGGGCGTCTTTTCTGATCTCTGGGTTGCAAAGGGGGTCCACAAGTGAATTGGAATCGCTACTGCTTCTTCTGGGTGCTGTCCGATGTTCTTGAGATCATTTACAGTATTTCAGGTCGTTTGGTGCACTGAAGATTGAAGTTGTTGGTTTTTCGGTGGTTCACAGTTCCGAAAGCAGTTGCTTCTTTTCATTGAGCCTTCTTGCATCCTTAGATTTTAATCAATGTAGCCCGAGTGGATCAGGCATGGAGATCTAAGTGAACTCTTTCAAAAATGAACTCTTTTTCTTATCATAACCCGCGGAATTCCCGTAGAATCTCTGTGTTGCAAAAGGGAACTCTGGGGCCCATAGTGCCCCCCACCTTCCCCCCCCCAAAAGTAACTCTTGAATTCTGATCTAACAGTCATGAATCTTCACTGGTAGCTCAGTTCTCTCTTCCTGGAAGGACAGCCGTCTCTACAGGAATATGGCAAAGGTTCCAGCCGCCTACAGTACTCAACAGCCCCTCAAGTGAGGTTGGTTCTGACTTCCTTAAAGCCAGTCTGTTCTCTTTGGGACTCAGAAGACGTGGCAAAAGTGCTCTTCCTTAACCGGCCCCAAGCCCAATCCACAACTACTGGAGCAAATGAGCTGTTTTGGGCCCAGTATTGGTTGAAAAAAGTGCAGGAACCATTTACCTCTTGGGTGCAACTGTCATGGGAAATCTCTGTGTCTTTCAAGCTCTTTCTAGTAACACAACCAAACAGCAGCCCCTTCCTTCCAACAAACCAGGTTGTTCTGCATTTTGTCTTGATATCAGAGCTAGGCTTCTAACGTCTGCCAGGAGGAAAGAAGAGGGGAACTAAGGAAGGCCTAGGAAAGGGGTTTTCAGCATGCGCGGGGGGGGGGTCTTTTCATTCCTGTAAGGAGGAGGGTAACCTCTCCCGTGCTTAACCCTCAAGGGCACCAGAACTTCTGTTTTTCTCGCGTCAGGCTGGATGTGATGATCTTTCCTTTTAAAACACGCTGGGCTGGCACAGACTCTTAAGGAGGGCCCCGTGTGGGACACAGTGACTAGAGACGGATAAGCAGAGTGTTCCCTTTGCTTGCCCACAGACTTGGGAACCCCCTAAAGCAAAGCCCCAAGCTTGCTCTACAAGCCACAAAGGCTACTAATTAGGGCTGCTGGCTACTAATTAGGCCTGCCAGCTTCTGCATCCACTTTCGTTCTTGTGTCTTTCAAAACCGCTGCATAAGTATACCTTGGTGGGTGGTGCTGTACCACTCTGTGCTCTGGAAGGCCTCCTCCCGTGATTTTCCTGCAGTACAAACTGCAACTAAAATTATACAAGCAGGTTAGAATGCCGTGGGGTCGGGGAAGGTCAGGGGAATCTCCGCACCAGATAGGTTGTTATAACAATACAAAACGGCTTGTGATGATTTTCAGCCCTTTTGGCTCCATTTGGCTCAACATGTTGCTGGTGAGAACCAAACCAAGTATTATGTTGCGTGCATGGTTGGACTGTGTGCCCTTAGTTTTCACAACCTGAGGTAACCACCAGGAAATAATAATGATCATACATTACAGTGGGGTCTCTACTTAAGAACTTAATCCGTATTGGAAGGTGGTTCTCAAGTTGAAAAGTTCTTATGTTGAATCTGCATTTCCCATAGGAATGCAATGAAAACCATTTAATCCATATCTGCTCTTTTCCATCCATAGAAACTACAGTGGAACCTCTACTTCAGAACTTAATCTGTTTTGGAATGGTGTTCTTAAGTTGAAACGTTCTTAAGTTGAAGCAAA